GTTCTTTAGCCAATCAGGAAATGTTACAGACTTACTGAAGGATGTGTAGATTGTGTAGGAATTCTTTTTGGTGGTAAAGGTAGCTAAGGTAAGATAAGGAAAATGTTAACTTTCCTTTTTGACTTCATCAAACTTGATGTATTATTTAAATTTTGACTGTATTCGTAATAAGTTTCTGTTGCTAATTCATATATTGTCACTAATTGTTCATAGGCTGTTCAGTTGTACCAAATATAAGGTGACCCAGTGGAAGTTTTGAGGTACATCCTTGAGACATTGTTTTTCTTATTGAAAGGTGTTACTAAGGATGAACAATTATATTTAGTTGATGGAATAGGATTATGTTAGCACTGTTTTGATGGTTGGTTGCAAATTAAACAGGTTATTTATACAATTCTACAAAACTTTTTAAGCTTACAAAGTGAAATCCACAGTAATCTTGTATGTATGTGGCACATTAGATGTGTGGATTAGCTGTTCTTAACCCAGAACATCATGAGTGGGTGTATCAGTAGTGTATTTATATTAACACTGTAAAAAGTAGTTCAGAGCTTCTTTTGGGTTGTATTAATATAGTAATTTTGTGTATTTTATTACTATTAAGTAATGTAAATCAATCTGCAAATGCTCGTATTCTTTACTTGCTTTCGTTTATAAACAAACTTACAATAATGAGCTATAATGTATACAAAGAAATGTGAAATACTCTTGTACATGACCATGATAAGAGTGGCTGGCACCTCAATTGCTCACCAAGGCAAAGCTTGCCAGTGAAGTAGACATATTATTAGTCTCATTCTATTCAGGAAATTTTATATTTGATAAGTCAAAATAGCAGTCATGTCACTGAGTCCATGATGTACTGTTTCAAATGGGACACTTATGCTGGACTTCTACAGTTGTATATTGTCAGCACAACTGATCGCTGTTAATTCACCTAACTGTTCAATTGTTTTTCCATTACAACTTTTCACTGTCATTTCATTTAGCTTCTATCTAACATTTTTTTTAATACTAATCACAACCTGCAAAACATTTGCAGTAGCTTTCATGCATTTTGCTTGAATTTTCCTTATTCTATCATTTTCACGCATGCCATTTAAGCTATGCTTTCTTGCAGGCATTACGTGTTAGATCAGTAAATTTTGGTCTATTTAAAAAATGTTATGCACTCAGACAAACAACTCATGTAAACATAACTTTATTTAATAAAACTACATGTAAAATACACAATAAAGTAATGGTATTTATAATGGTGTACCTAGTATGAAACAGTTACGAGCTTTCAGTATGTGACACTTTTATGAGTTGAAACAAAGAAACTCGCAAAAATTAAGACCTGAGTAAGTCAAGAAAGCCCATAAAAATTGTATTTAGTGTAATGTTCATCTTTTTATAGGAAATTACATGTGGGTTAAGTGTTGCTTGTGTGAAATACTTTGCAAATAAAAAACTAAAGTTGAAATTGAAGCCAGTCATCATATGATGATAAGGACATTGTGCCATTGTGTACCATACTTGTTGCATTGAAAAGTTTGATTAAGCAAAAAACAGGTAAGGTGATTCTGAATTGAAAAGCCAATATCAATCTGGGCTCAATGGACAAAGGCCTTTTAATGATATGAGATTTGTAGCATTTGATAGAAAAATTTGTGATAAAAGTTCTGAACAGAGAAACACAAGTGTATTATCTATATAGATTTCCACAGTTATTGTTTTTATTTCATAATACCTTGCCACTGCTATTCATTGCAGCTTTTCCATTATGACTAGTCTAACTTTACTATGAGTACTTATCCTAATCTTTACATATGTTACTTCTTGTAATCTTTTATTGTTATTTCTTTTAATATTCTGTAATAAAACATAATAATCTTGTCATTCTTACCTTGTATTCCTTTTTGCACTAGTGATGTATTTTTTAATACTGTCATTTCATATGTAATATTTTAAGTTTCTACACAACTTATACTATCTACAATCACTGAAGTACAATATTTGTTTTATCTTAGAGTAAATGTAGGGTCAGATTATAAAATATTTTTGTTTGCATGTAATTGTCAATTTATATTTTTACATTTCCATAAAACATTCATAATAAGTGTTTTCTAAGAAATCTTAAAACAGCTATTTTCACAGTCAGTATTCTGATTTTTTTTTAAATAATATTATACTGACAGTTTTTTGTACATTGCACCTGAATAATCAATTTGGCCCTTAGCTGCTTCTAAGAGGCATAGAGCACGAGTCCTGTACAGCTACACACCTGTCAATGATGATGAGTTACAGTTAGAAGTGAATGACATTATTGAAGTTCTAGATGAAGTCGAAGAAGGTTGGTGGAAAGGAATTTTGAAGGGATCTGTGGGAGTATTTCCATCAAATTTTGTAGTAGAAGAAGATGGGAATAGTGATGTGCTTGAACTGAGTGGAACAGATGAAAAAATATTAACCAAGAGTGATGATCCAGCTACTGCTTCAGGTAAAAACTGTTACTGTGTGTCTGTATGATTACTGTATTGTTTGTGTGAACTTGAACCTTGTTGTGATTTGACTTGGGAACTATTACAGATAAAACATCTAATATTATGTTCTAATTTATGTAGGTGATGTATAATACAGTAAGTAAAGTTCTAAAAAGCAGTGTGGTAGGAAATTACATAGAATAAATGACATGACTTAATACTAATATCACCTGCAAATATATATTTATTTGAGCAGAGTACCCTTCCTTAGGTGTATTAAAGCCTATAAAACTAGAATGAACTAAAAGTTTGGTTCCAGTATGGTGCCTCACCTCCTCTCACGTGTATAGCTATTTTTTGTTCAGTGCTGCCTTCTATATGCAAACTTTTTTTTGCATGCCACAAACCTTGAACTCCCATGTGCCCCACAATCAGTGTGGTTCACTGCATTTTGCATGTAAATCATCATGCGCCACCCTCCACCAAAAGGAATGTGACACCCTCCTGATGCATGTGACTCCTTTTAGTCGATTCTACCCTAATAATTCTATCTATTTCTACCATGCCCAGTTTTTCTGCCTTTGTCTCACCCTTATAGCTCTCCTATGTTACTTGTCCACTATAGACCTCCTTTCTGAGGTACTTCAATGATCTCCTGAGGGTTTTTTGGGGATGGTCTTTCCCTCATTACCTCCACATTGGCACAGTTGTTCTCCTCAGCCCTATCTCTTCCTCACACGGTTTCTTTGCTGTTCGGATCTTCTTGGGAAGGATGCTGTCTTGTCATGGGTTCATCTCCCTTCCACTTATCTTCGTGATCTACAGATGTCTCCTTTTCTCCATTGATCTGTTTTTTTTTCATATTTTCAAGTCTCTGGAATCATGGGGAATCTGCAAGACAATATTTGACCCTTTGTCTTTGGTTGCTGATTTGTCTCATTTTGATCCCATGACCTCTCCCATAAACCTTTCTCTTTCTGCACTCTCCCATCCTTTACCATTTCCTACCACTAGGGGTTCAACATTTCATCACGTGTCTTAATGTTGGGCTTATTGTTACCAGCAGTTCTGGTGGTTTTTGGTCCAGTAAGGAGTGTATCCAATTTTGTTCCCCTGTGGAATGAATTCACTACCGATCCTTGGGTGAACCAAATTTCGTCAGAACTTTCCATCTGTTTCCTTTCCCCACCCACTGTCTCCTATACCTATATCATTCCTGTTACCTCGAGATCTCACTACCGTTCAGTGTCTACCCGAGGCTTTTTGTCATCCCCAAGAAAACTAGAGACTAGTTTCCTGTGATTGATCTGTCCTGCCTCAACCAATATCTGGATCTTCCCCGTTTTACCATGGAGTCATGTCTCACACTCCGGTTGGCTTTTTCTCTGAGACTGGAGATGACCAAGGTAGATGTCTCAAATGCTCCTCTCTGTATTCCTATTTCTCATCAGTTCAGATGCTATCTTCAGTTTGTCCACTACATGTATATCAGTTTCATACCTTGCCTTTCAGGCTTACTTCAGCACTGTATGTATTTTGTCATTTGGTCAACTTATGCATGCTTGAGAGTTGCATTTCCACCACTACATTGACAACTGGGTCCTATTAGCTCATTCTGAACTGGAATCTTGTCAATACACACATATGTTGGTTGGATTCTTGAGTTGGAGAAGTCTTTCCTTTTTCCTACCCAATATCTTACCCACTTGGGTGTATTTTTCAACACCCACCTCAGTCAGGCCCAATCTTCTCTATACCCTTCCTGCTTCCTCTCTTTCTGCATGTGAGGTTCTACCTCTTTTGGAAACTTGGGGTTCTATAAAAACCCTTATCCCTTTGGGTTTGGGCACATATGCTTTCTCTCCAGTGGACTCTGCATAACCAATGGAATCTTGTTTGGGTTCCCTTGGACTCTCATATTATCCTTCCTCCTTCACTTGTAGATGATTTGCATTGGTGGTTGAACAAGGGCAATATGACGTTTGTAGTACTGCTTCCTCCACCTCATCCAGATTTGCATCTATTCACAGATGCTTCTCTGTATGGTTGGGGCATAGGTCAATCGGCAGGAGGCTTCTGGACGATGGTCTCAGGTCAAAAAGTCTTACTATATCAACATCTTGGAGCATCTGGCAGTATGACGTGCTTTGGATCATTTTCTTTCTATGGTGGCCTATATCAATTACCAGGAGGCACCCGTTCCCTTTGTTGTCGAACATTAGAACTCATTTATTGGGCCCACATGCTGCAGATAAGTGTCCTTGTGTGTTATGTTTTGAGTGCTTTCAACCTCATGGTGAATCATCTTTCAAGGTTCAACCAGGTTTATTCAACAGAGTGATCTCTTGACCCTCATGTTTTCAGGTGGCTATGCAATCATTTGGGTACTTTTCATCTGGATGCTTTTGCCACTTTCCTCAACACCAAGTTACCTCTTTTTTGATTTTTGGTTCCTCATCCTCAGGTCCTGGCTGTACATTACATGTTCTCAGTCAGGATTGGACCAACTGGTACATGTTTGTCTATACTCCCATCTGACTCCTTCCCAAGGTGATTTTGGTTATCCATGCCACTCCATGTCAGGTCCTTCTAATTGCTCCTTACTGGCCAGTTCCAAACTACCCCACCCCCATAGCCTCTTCCTCTCACTCCATCCCTACTCTCTCTGTCAGTCTCAGTCACTGGTCCTTCATCCTGCCTTTCCCACTCTCTGACTTCATGCCTGGCATTTATCAGGTCACTTCCATAGAAGGTCTTTGAGTCAGGGTTTTCCCCCCTTCTCAGCCCACTGTTCCTCATCTTACAGATTTCCTCACCTGGCTATTTGATGATGGGGTTTCTGTATCCTCCACAGCTGGTTATTAAGTATCCTTATCCAACACCTTCCATTTCTCTTGTACCATTAAGTATTTTCCTCTCCTACTGTCTCTTTTATTGCATTTCTTCTGGATTCATAGATGACCTCGTTGGATGGTTCTTCCAGATTGGAGTGTCAATATTATTCTTCACTGACTTACACTCCCTTTATTTGAACATTTGTCCTCATGTTCCATAATTCTTAAGACTTATTTCCTACTCCTTTTAGCCTATGGGCATCCTCGGGTCTGTTGTATTTGCCATCACTGTTTCATATACTTTGTTTCATTCCACATATGTTCTCCTTTATCTGGATCAATCTTTCCTATCCAAAACTTCAGTGGCTCTTGAGGGACATTCTTTCTTCTCACCAATTTCACTTCCATCCATTTCCCACCTTTATTCCTGGTCTGATCTGGATAGACTTCTATGTCCCATATGTTCTCTTTGTTGTTACAATACCCACATGGCCTCCTTTTGTGGTTCCCATTCCCAATTTTTCATCCTGTGGTAACAGTCTTCTGTATATGACCTTTCTTCTTCTACCTTTACTAGTTGGGTTCATCAACTGAATCGATTTACATATTCTCCCTGTCTTCTTCCCGAAATCTGTTTCTGGTGTCATCACATGAGAACAGGCACCTTACCTTTTCCTGGCATCTCATTTATGTTATCCATCGGAGGAAATTCATCTCCCGCTATCTGCATCGGGTGGCTGTTTCTTCCTCATCGGGGTATTGTGTTCTTCCTGTCGCCATCCTTCAAACTTCAGTGAGGCTCTGACTGGGTAAGTTACCTTTTTTATATATATTTTTTTCCTTCCAAATGCCATGTCCCATTTAGATTTAGGATCCTGCTCAGTGGCAATCATTGTATGTTCAGGTATGCTTCCTATCTCTCAAATCCTCACTGTACAGCCAAGATGTATATCCATGGCCAGTAACGCACACTGTTGAAATGGGGTGTTCCACAAGATAGCTAGTAGGTTTTCCTCACAATATATTTGCTTCATAAGTATGCTTGTTCCGACCATACTAATCCATGGACTTACATGGGTAAAGCAGAAGGTGATAGCTGCCCACCCCTGCCTTCTCTGCTTTTCAATAAAAAGATTTCTTGGTCACCTGATGCACTGTCTCTGGTGTTGTCATTCTTCTGGGCTCTCCACCGCATTTTGTCCTCTATTTGCCACTTTCCAGTTCTGAGCCACTGGTGTGATGGACCATGGAGGAGTCTTCCTGAATGTAATCACTTCCATCCAGTAGAGACTAGGGTGATGGTGTTTTGCTGGTGGAGATGTTTGAACCTCCAATCATGCACTTTACCTCTGTGTGGGGGGTTCCGGAGGGTGAGATTACATAAATTTTCTAGAGGTGATCCACTTCCGTGCGGTGGGATCTGGAGTTTGGCATTGTGCTACAACTTCTGTGTAGTCCTATCCAGAGGATAATGTTAGACATATTTCACAAAAATACATTCTACCTCTGTGAGGTGAGTCCCAGAGATTGATGCTGTGCCTTGCTTCTGTACAGTTGTATCTGGAGGGGGAGGTTGCATATCTTTTACATAAACGATCCACTTCCATGCAGTGGGATCTGAAGGTTGGTGCTGCGCCCAGCTTCTGTGCAATCCTATCTGAAGGATGATGTGATTGTGGATAAAATCTGTCACATTGCAGTTCACCCCTGCAATTGGGATACCTCATTCTACCATCACCTGGATGTTGGTTCCCAGTGAGTGGTTTTGGATTAGAGCTGGACCAATCAATATAAATCTTTATACGTGTTGGTTGTGTTTCCTCATCCTAACTCAAATTACTAGTTTTGCCTCATGATTTCCACCTCTGTGTGGTGGGTCTCGGAGGTTGATGTCGTGTACACATGCACTTTGGTGCAGTCGCGTGTGGAGGATGATGTTGTTTGGGATGATGGTTTTCCCTCTCGTGTTCCACTTCAGAGAGTATTCACTATCTGAGGCTACTTTTGTGCAGTAGGGTACCAATGTGTTTGGGTTTAGTTTGATGTGACCTGCCACATTGGCACATCCCTTCATATCATAATTCAGATGTCTTGTTCTCAAATTTATGGGTGGTTGTGGATTTGCGCACATGTGTTCTATTTAGTAGATCAGTTTGAAAAGTATATACTTCCATTCTACTCGACTTGAGGTGAAGATGGTGTGGACCTCCTTCTATCATGGGTTGGAAGTTGTGTTCCTGATGCTGCTTGGTTTTGGAATGGAGTTGACTGGCCACATATGGCTCAATGCACATCCATTTTAGCTTCCCCACATTCCTGTCTGTGGATAATTCTTCTTCAGTCTTTCTTCACCAGGATTGAAATTCCAGTGTATTGTGGTTCAGATTTGTACTAGCCCAGTTTTTCTCTTCCTTTTGGTTGTGTTCCTCCCACTTTTTGCACATGTATGCGACTCCTATTTTCACAATGAATGCAGAGTATACCTGGTACAGAAGTGATGTCTCCCACATCTGTTTCTCTCCCAGTGGGTGTCATACTTCATTGGTGTTCTTCGGATGCTTTCAAAGGATACTTCTTTATATCCCTCACACCGGCCCCTCCACCCATTCAATGTGAGATTCTAGCTATACATGTGAGAAGTGGTAAGGTACCGTATTGGAAGTTACTAATTTCCTATAATAAAAATGTATTTCTGATAGGTACTTACCTCCTCTCACACTTCCTCCCCACTCAGAGACTGGTGCATCCTTTCTGCCTAATCTCAAAGTGATAGTTCAATAGAATCAACCAGAGGGAGTCACATGCGTCAGGAAGTTGTGTCACATTATGGGAATTCAATATCCCAGTATACTGAATTAAATTCTATTTACAAAGTTAGCTACTTATAAACCATGGATAACCAGGAGTAATTAACAACCTTTAAACACGTACTGAATACTAATAGAGGTCATGAGAAATTGTAATCCTTCATTTAAATCTTAAAGTATATATTATAATACAAATTGATTATATGTAATACAAGTTGTTTTAATTTCTGATTAATAGCTTTCTATTCAGCTCTTAGCTGGTTGTCTTTGTATTATGAATGGTCTTGTTTCTATAGGAAATTCTATACCAAATTCTCCTTCACACCAAGAAGTCAAGCCCAAACCCATCCAAGGAATTGGGTATGGTAACATTTTCAAAGATGGTTTAGTGAACTTGAAACCCACAGATTCAGCCAAGAAAGTGAGTTGGTTTTACTGTTTTGAAGTTTTTATTTTATCAACAATACATTTGTATTTACTCTAACAACTGTCTTGCAATATTTGAAATCTGACAACATAAAATCCATTCTTCTGATATTTAGTTTTTGAAGAAAATGTTTTAGCAAGTCATAATTTACCAGTTTATATTTTCCCAATTTTAAAGAATGGTTTCATATCTTTTTCTACTTCTAAATAATTCACTCACCATTACAGTTGTAGAGTAAAAATACCAAAAATAAGAAGTAATTGATGCAAAGGTAAATAGATTTAGACAGTATATTGTTGAGCAATAGCTTGTGAGAGTTCATATGTTTCTTTTGATGTTTGTGTTATTTGGACATTTTTAAAACTCTTTCCATATAGTTATCCTTCTGTATATATCACAAGGTGTTATTGAGTTGCATTCAAAATTTAATTAAACTATTTTATTATCATGGTATACAAATAACTTTGGTATCAAAATGTAGCTAATAACTCAAATTTCAATATCATATAAGTTTTAAGTTCTTAATTTTATAAGGCAATTTGAAAAATTCCCGAATTTCCCGTAGTATGAAAATTGTGTTACTTGCTCTCTAGGTCTTCTCTTCTCAAACTTATTTACCCCTTCTCACTCAAGAAGTACAGAATTTAACATAAATTACTCATTATAATTTAGTTTATTACTCAGGCAAAGCATAATTTTCATAGCCTTCTATTGTGAATTTGGTTACATAGTCATGAACTAGAAGATCAAACTTTTCTTGACACTCCCACCTGGCCCAGCATGGCCAGGTGGTTAAGGCACTCGACTCGCAATCTGAGGGTTGCAGGTTCAAATCCCCATCACACCAAACATGCTCGCCCTTTCAGCCGTGGGGGCGTTA